TATTCGATAAAAGAGTTTATGTGTGAAAAATAAAGGAGACTCACGGAAAGCTCACTTCATTCAAATTAATTAAATTTTATTAATAATTTATAGATTTAGTTTTTAAGCTTATTAGCAACACCCTGACTGGGTTATGTACAATACCAAATTTTATTGTAAGAACTTTTTATTATGTACATGTGCAATATGGGATAAATAAATAAATAAATAAATGGACACAGGTTCGAGTCCTGTCAGAGGAATTTTTCTTTGTGTTCGATCTTTGTGTTAAAGGAATAGTTGAATACTAGTGAAGTAACTTAACTAAACATTGATGAAAATCTTGGTAATGAATATCATGGTAAACACCATGCTATTACAATGTTATAATACTTAAAAAGATCAAATCGAATCTTTCGCAAATAAAATTGTAATCAATTTTAATTGAATTGTAATTTTAAGACATTTTATATGCCTGACTTGGGTAAGAATTGTGAATCTAGTAAACACCTTCATTTTACGAATAAATACAATAAATATTTCTGATTTCGCCTATCGTTTAGTCAAGTAGAGCGGAGAAGCTATTTTTGCAAAAAACAGTACAGTGTACAGAGTACTTTCTCAATGTCTCTGGGCAAACTTCGTGTTTCGGCTATCGTTAGGTCTTATACAGTTGTCCTTTGCCTTTGGTAAAGATCGGACGCTTCCAGTTGACTTCGACTGAAAGCGCCCGGTGGAGCAACTCTGTAGTTGCTATTACATTTTATATTTACTATATAATGCGAGGAAAGTCGCAAAAGTCACAGACACGATGGATAATTTACAGCGTCTACTTGTTGTTTTTACAAGAAGACTATTTTCAAAAAGTCCAAAGACGTGTTTCTGTAGCTTGTGGTGTTTCAATTGGGACAGTGAAGAATATTTAAAGGAATATGATAAAAAATATAAATAAGTTCCTTTTCAGTCACCCAAAAAGGTACGAAAGAACAATACATTGAGAAAATACGAGTAGAAGCAGTGTACACTGATATCCACGCACAGCTGTGCTCCACTTCGCGTGGACACAAAATGCGCCATTCACTATTATACTAAAAAATGAATGGCGCTTCGTGACACAAGACGGAAGTCTTGTTTGAGACGGGCCTCTTCCGAGGATTAGCAGTTAAGCTTTGAAAGTCAGGGTTCTATTCTCAGTACTCATAAAGAAGCTTTTCACTCACCATAAAAGAAATAACATCCATCGGGATCTTATCCTCCCAGTCCACCTTTTCCCCGTTGCGCACCGGCTGCTTTGTTTCCTCCAAGCCCACCTTTTCTCCGTTGCGCACTGGCCGTTTCATTTCCATCCAGTCCGCTTTCTCCTCATTGTGCATCGGCTGCTTTATTTCTTTCCGGTCCACCTCGTCCCTGTTGCACACCGGCCGCTTCGTTTCCTTCGCATCAGCGTTCCGTGGAGGGCTTTTGAACCCTCCAACAACGTTGGCCACTACGCACAGAGGAACGTCACTTGTGTTATCTCGCGTTTCTTTTGCAAAGTTCATTCTTTTCCGTTTATGCTCGTGCAAATCTTGATTCATTGTAATGAGCGCTTCCTGCAACACCATCTCTTCGTTGACCCTTTGAATCGCGTCCACGTCGAACGTGACGGTGGTCGAGGGTGCCGGGTTGGGGCTCATCACGTTCACCCCTGGGTTCGGCAGCAGGAGCACGTGTGGCACACCGCCGTTGCTCATCAATATGTTCACCGGTGCACTCTGCGGCAGCTGCGTGAATGCTATACTTTGAGGCGGCACTGTAAGTTGGGACACAACGGGCATCGCGAAAGGGGCAACGCAGACTGCAGACGGCGCGGGCGGTAAGGTCGGGGCGAAGACCAGCGATTGCGCCGGAGGCGGCAGCGGTGCCGGGCCCCTGGAGGGGGCGGGGGGGACCGCGTCGTCGTCGTCGTCGTCTATGAACACCGTCTGCATGTCCTGGCGCCATGTCGGCAGCGACCTGCGCACAAAGCAACGAAGCAGAGTTGCCGCGGCCGTCGCGGGGGCGGGGCGGGGCGGGGCGGGGGCGGACACTCACGGCGCGGGGGGCGATGCGCACGGCGCCGGCGGCTGCGGCTGCGCCGTCATCTGTAACACGACCGGCATTTTCATGGAAACGTTTCAACAGGCAGCATATTTTCTATATACAGATTTTGGAACTTCTACATCGCCGCGTGAGAGTCCAAAAAGTTGCTGATAGTAAATAGTTTTAAACCAATAATCAAGAGCAACAGACGACAATTCGACGGTTAATTTGTTTAGGGCTCGTGCTGTGTTACAGAACTTTGAAAATTCTTTCCTACAAAATGAAACCTGAACAAGATGGCCTGTATGATTTAATTCGCAGGCAAACACTGACCTCGTTGCTGGTGACGAGTAGAATCTCCGTGGTGCGCATGCGTCGCGGCCGAACCCGCCTCACGCTCGCGTTGACACGCGCCAGCGTTCTCACTCTCTGGCAAACAAAACAATACAAGTCCATTTTTTGAAAAAACAAAATAAAAAGGAGGAGGTTCTCAATTCGACTGTATGTTTTTTTTGTATGTATGTTACGCGATAACTCCGGTATTTGTGAACCGATTTTCATGATTCTTTTTTTGTTGGAAACAGGATACCTCCATAGTGGTCCCATTTCAGAAGAAAATCATCCACCTGTAAGGGTGGCTGATCACGCATGAACATTCATTTTTATAAATAGTGCCTAAATTTCATTATAAGGAGCAATTATTTTAATGGTTGATTTTGCTATTCTCCAATTAAAGGCGGTTTTCTCTCAATATATTTTGAGTAGTGAGAACCGATTTTTATTATCTCCAGTGTCAAGTCCTGTATAGTGGCGAACTAGGGGATATTTCAATAAAACGTGGCAAATAGATGATACTTTTGAGGTCGGTTTTTTAAGTACTCTGTACTAAGATTATTGTGATAATAAATGCCAATAGACATACATCAAAAGTCAACAAAAAGCAACTAGTAAAAACGTTGTTAGAGCTGATATGGCGTTTATCCAGTTAAAGTGAAGATAATTTAATCCTTGGTCAGTTTCAGTCCGACGCTAGCAGGCCAATCCTTGTGTACTAAATTCAAACATAAATCAGAACTGACTCAAAAAGGCTACAAGTCGTGGCTAGTCCAGGCTACAGTGATAAGGCATTTTTTAGACAAGCGTGAACCACTGCTGCTTGGCTAAAGGCGACATTGTGGCCATTTGATGGTGCAACAAAAGTACGAGTGCAACGCAGCGAGACAGACCACATAGCGCTTGCGGTCGGCGGCGACGGCGTGCGCGGCGTCGGCGGCGCGCAGCGCGCCCACCACGCGCAGCGCCGCGCTCGCCGCGGCCTCGCACCACGCGCACACCTCGCCCGGCGCCGCGCCACGCTGCGGACACGCGACGCAATTCTTTGGAAGGCACTTTATAATCCGGGAACTAGATTGCTGCTGCTCAGTCAATTTAGGGCACCCGTTCCCGAGATCATTGCGTTCACGCACCCGACTTATTCCCTTTCAAAACCCATCAGGTATTTAGTCCAAGCTAGAACTCGGTGCAGTTTTGACTTTAAATAAATAACAGAAATGCGGCTGTTGGTGGTACCAAAGTAACCAAATTACATTTTGACTCAAATATTTACTTGGTTTAGAAACATACAAAGTTAATAGTGGTACCACCATTACAGGCTAGCTTTTTTTGCATCCGCAGCGCCACCAACCTGTTTTTTAAAATTAATTTCATGCGTAGTGTGTTGCTATTTCAACAGTTACTTTCTTTTATTCCCATATTACAGATATATTGGTGGCACTGTAAACTGTGTGATCCCCTGGCTCTTATGTAAAATAATAAAATATTGTTTTTAGCTCACTTTCCATAAATTGTTGAGCTGCAGCATGTTGGCCAGAGCAGAGACACTGCGGGGCGGCACAAGCTTCTCCTCGGGTGCAGCACGCATGCATACGCGGCAAAACGGCGTTGCATTCGCGCTCAGGACTCGGATGGTACCAATTGCATCAAAGTCACTCTCACTGTCAACACTGCCATAGTTTCTCTCAGTCATTGTGATGCAAAGGCCTTTTAATTACTGTGAACTAAACCGCCAGTGATTTGCCATTGCTATATTAAAATGACAGCAGACACCCAGTGAGGTATATGGAAAGTTTACGTTGTACAGGACTTGACTAGAACTTGTCTACCTTCATACTGTTCAAAATATACGGTTCTCCAGAACAGCGGGTGTCGTCCAGTCGTTCTGTAGCTCAGAGCTACCATATAGCTAATATTAATTATTCTGATCGCTCTAGGGAGTATTCAATGTTTTTTGCCGAAACTTGGTCAACTGTCGAGCTGAAAATATTGGAAAAAATTCGTAAAACTCGTGATGGTAAATGGTAGGTTGCTACGAGTTTTTAGCGCTAATGGGGCTTAAAGAAGTAATGGTAATGGCCAAAATATAGTCATATTTATGCAATACACTTTTCACTTTACAATAACGGTGGAAATATCCTTAATACTAAACAAGGTCTATTATTTCTTCTTGATACTCAATGTTAAACAAATTTACTATTTCCATTGTTGCACAATAAAAGAACCAAATTTACGAGAAATGTTTTAAAATGCAACACAAAAACAAAGTTATTTCAGAAGCTGTCAAAAAAGTTTTTTTTTACTTTTCACCCCTTCATTTGGGTTGGCAAAAGTTTTACCATACAGCCTCTTCACATATCACCATTTTGCTGTCAGAATAAAATACTCCTATTGTTTTGTAATCTGACACCGCGTTTACACTATCGTCGAAACAATCGTGTCGAGAGGTTGAAACCTGTTGAAACACGTTCACACATTCGTTCGTGCGATAGGCGATGCGATGCACGACACGCATGTATAAACGGTCACTTCGCTATTCGCATCGTGTATCGTATCGCCGCTCGTGCGATCGCGTCGTGAGCAGTTATCTGTGGCACTAACTACGGAATGAACGTGGATACCTAAACAAAAATTGAACGAACAAACGGCGGATTTGTTTAGTGTCGTACTATAATCTATCGATAAGTCATTATCGACATGCAAACATTTAATTAAAGTAGATCAATATTCCATTTGGGAATATTTTAGGTTATTTGGGAATATCCGGGAATGTCACATGAAATTTTGAATTTATTGTTTTGCGTTTACAAATACTCAAATATTACGAAAAGTGAATTAGCACAGAAAAAAATAATATTTTGACAGTATATAAAAAAGAGAAACTTTGAAATATAAGTCCTACACATTTTTAACCTCAAGATTCATATTTTCATAGAGAAATTTTTAAACAGATTCCAAATAGTGTAAGCTTTTTTGTATTTATGCATTGGTATAGAATTAATATCAGTGACTGATTTAAGTGAATCTTTAATACTTCCGTTTTTGGAAATAAATGAAAGTAGTAATATTATCAATAATAATATTATTATCATACGTTTATTTGCTTAAAACATGGTATAACAGGAGATGTAACAAGATACCGTGTTAGTATAAATATGTTTCGCATATATTAAATGGCATGCAAATGTCTGATTATACAATGTCAATTGACTACTATTGACCGGGCGCCTTTGATTTGTGCAGAAAAATCGACACTTCTCCGATGTGAAACAAGTAGTCACGAGCAACTGCGAGTTGTGACAAGCCACGTCAAACGAGTTCTATACACGTTAGCGCTCGCCTTCACTCGGTCAGATAGGCGAGTGACACCGAACGACGGCCAGGTAAGGCAAGACAAATAGGCTGTCTATACGTCGTTGGTATTGGCCTTCACCCGGCAACGTTAGACCAACATGGTCTTTGTATTGCTGACTTTATAAAATAAGAATTTTTAGTAGTTATTTTTTTATTTTATTTTATTCACAATTAAAAAGTTTACAAAAAGTTAGAGTTAGTCAGTGAGAAAAAATCGGAAACGAGTGGATAATTTTGTTTTCAGGAATAGAGAACGCCTAGTAAATGAGTCTTGTTTAATCTAAATTAAATATAAAATTATTTACCAATAAACCTAACGATGGAATTGTATTATCATGTAATCCAGTTATATTCAAAGTTATGTTAAAATTTGACTTTTCAAAATGAAGCCAATAAAATTGAAGATGATCTGTGATTCAATGTTTATATTCGGCACTATAATACGGCGGTATGATTTCCAACCATACTTTTTTCTTTTTGATTTGTAGGTAAACTTGAAATAGTAAAAATAATAATAATAAAAACCTCGTAGCGAATTATTTTAATAACAGAATATCGATAACATGTACGCTTCCAAGAACAACACTATCTCAAAATAATCGTTTACAACAATCATCAAAATATACATACAAATAGGCAATCTGAAGAAATCAAAGCAAAATTTGGCAAGATTTATGAATAAACTACTTAAATATGTCTAATCACATGAGATATTTGGGGTTTTGTGTGATGTGTGTGACAGAAAAATAACACGTGGCTGTACAATGTTACATTCGGTCGATCTTCGCTTTTTCAAATGCCACATCCCGTAATGCTGTAGCGACGAATTTTTATTAATACTTAATTGTTCTCACTGTCAATATTTTTGTCCATTTTATTACAATACATGCGAATAATTCAATAAAACACTTGGAAAACATTTGTTTTGACATTTGATGTACTTCCTTTTGACAACCGTATCATGTACCTCGTGTACTGCGACATGGACTAGGTTGGCATTTAAGATGACGTTACGTATTTTCAATTCCCGTGTTTGACACAGACCAATGTAATGCGATAACTTTTGGCTTAGACGGTTTGCAAGAGTTAAACAATGACAATAATATATGTTTATGTTTTCAACGTCGAAATGCATCATATACATATAACGTCTGATTTATACATATATGTTAACATAACATGTCCTTTAGTTTCCATTAAGGGTCACATTGATATTGAGAACCTTCCTTTATTTTTTTCCACCTTTAAGTTGAGAACAGTGTGACCATTTGTGGCAGATTTAATTTTTATTCATTTTCATTGCTGCAGAACATGATAAGTTATATTATTATAAATGTGGCAGAGTTTAGCAGATTTGGGAATATTCGGGAAGGTTTATATTTTTTTTGAGAACAAACTGAAAATTGTTGTTTTCTGCTGCTACGAACATCTGAAGCGAAATACAGGACAATGTTATAAACATAACCTGTACCTATCAACTTTATAACCCCAGCTTCTATAAGTATAGACTCAATTAGCTTTTTTGATGCTTTGATAATGAATCACAAATATTCACGCAATCAGTTCCTTAACGCTTTGAAAGAGCATCCCCAAGTTATAAGTTATAAGTAACAACTAGACAGAGCAAAACTTCCCACTATCACCCCTCCACACACACACACACACACAAACACACACAAGCCGTCATACAAACAAATTCAATTACACAATGATCTAATGATTGTAAAAGACAATTTAAAGTCGTATAATCTTGAAGAACAATAAGATTGTTTTTTAATGTGAATTTTAGTTGAAAGATTTGGTATTTCATTTTTTTTTCTCTTTTGCTTTTTCAAATCTTGAAAAAGCAAAAAAAATTTTTGAAAATTTGACTGTTGTATAACATCTCAGAAATAGCTTAAGTAACGTCAATATAAATGTTAAAAGGTCAAACTTTATAATTGGCTTTATAAGTTTTTAATCTACAATTGTATAGAAGATGTAATAGCTGTTAAGTTTGCTTATAAATAAATAAATAAATTAATAGGTCTCCTTAATACACGTCGTCAAAAACACTGGGTCATAAAATACATGGGACGTCGCCATCCTTCTTTCAAATACCCGATTAGTCACGCTAGAGGAAGGCGAATTTCGTTCCATTGAAATAGTGCATTCAGGGCACATACTTACAAATAAATGGACGACGGGTCTAATACAAAAACCACGAAAAAAATGTCCCAAGTCAACCTATTTAAACGTAGTGACATGTAAAGGAATATGAAAAAGCTAAAACGTTGAATTTAAATTGTAATGTCATCGCAGTACTGTCTAATTTTGCTTGCTTCGCTGTCAGAAGAAACAAACGAAGACGTGAATGACGCTCTGTATACGATTTTAACGCCCTATAAGTTCGGGACACTTTTTAGCGCGGACCCGACGTTCATATAATGTAAGTCAATGATTCTGGGCCAATAAATTCCGTTTGTTTAACCTGTGGTGTATGCAAAATAAGGTACGCTGCGACCCGCCCGCTCCTGCCATTACTACGCTAGACATAGGTACGAACGAACGTATCGCACGCGCACGTTAACACCAACCTTGTGTTGTTTTATTGACGTAAAGTAGTGTAGACGTCACACAACGTACTGAAAAGTTCACTAATAGAAAGATCCTAAAATGAAACAATGTTAAAATTGATACATTTATTAAAGGGCACATTTACACACTCAGCGTAACATCAATAAACAAAATACAACATCGTTTTCATCACGGGGCAAATTATTATAAACAATTCGTGTTTTCTTTTACAAATAATAATTATGTTTGCAGTTCGTGTATTTTTTGGCTCTTAGTACAGTTGTCGAAAGAACTGCTGAAGGCTTTTGGAGAGATCCAGGGAATAAATACGGGGGAAATTATGCGCGCGCTATTATTCTCGATCGTGGCAAGTTCCAGGGAGCGTTATTACGCAACAAAATGCGCGTGTGTAACTTATGGTCGTATTCTAGAACTCTACTCAATGCTCAAGTCAGGACTTGAGTATGATTCCAAGCACTAGAAATCATACTCAAGTCCTTGCCATTAGGGTCGTATTTCCAGTGCCTGAAATCATACTCAAGTCCTGACTTGAACATTGAGTAGAGTTCTGGAATACGACCCGTATTGCGTATTTTTCGTTAGTTTTAAAATAAAAACTTTAGTAAATCTAACTAAGAACTAAACGCCGTCTGTTTCAAAATGAGCAAAAATTACGTACGATCACAAATTAAAAATATAATCTTGTAAACAATAAAAATAAAATCTATATATGTACAATACAATGGCATTAACGAGCGGATATTTTTAAAGCGGCGGTATTCAATTTCTTCGTACAAAATGACACATAGGAAAGAGCCAGCCGCAGCGCGAATTATGCTACTGGAATTAAGAGCGGACGCCGCAAGTCGAAGTTTTATTATTACTACAGATCAGTACAGCTCCTTGTGAAAGAGTTCGTCCAGGGAAGTACTGCCACCTTACTGTTTCTGCCGCCAAGTAGTACTGAGCATTACTGGGTTCCGGTTTGGACGGGCCAGGGTGCTGGGCTCTGGTTTTAATGCAAATCGGAGTCGGTCTGATCGGGAACTCGGGCGGCGCATCCGCAATATGACACGCCTCCATTCGGAAAAGACGCAGCTTCCGATGGGGAAAGGCACTCAAAATCAAGCTGCTGGTGAAATTACGGGCACATGGGGTTTGTCAACTTATGGTAACCGCAGTGGCCCTCAGATTCTTGCATTTTAAATTTTGGAGTGGTACCGCAACTGTTACGGACAGGCGTGTCCATCAGGCGCACGACTCGTTCGTCCCGTTACACAGGTGGATATTATAAAAAAAAAGAAATGCTGCGTTTTTGCGTTTTCGCCTCTTGGAGGATCAGCGTACACTTGTCCCGTGACTCGGGGCCCGGTGTCCGCGAGGGTTCGGCGGTCACGAGATGCGGCACGCGTCGGAGTCGGCCTTCGCCCCGGCCCCGCCCCCGCCGCCGCCGCCGCCGTCGCCCGCCTGCACGGAAGGAGGCGGTGAAGCGACGCCGCGCGCCGCCGCAGCGCGCGCCGAGCGAACGGGACTCACGACGCTGGAGTCCTTCGCTTCGAGGTAGGGCACGGCGTTCCTGGCGAACAGCTTCCTCAAGCCGGACAGGGCGCCGTGCGTCGGCTTGGCCGGCGCGGGCTCGGCTCGCTCGGCGGGCTCGCTGGGCTCGCTGGGCTCCGCCGGCGTCGGGCCCTGGCGTTTCACTTTCTTTAACACCGTTTGACGGTGCTGTTAATATTAGCTTGTGTAGTATTAACGGCACGGGTGCATATTTTGATTAAACGAATGTTGGTTTCTCGACTCGTGTTCTTTTCTTAATTCTCTTGTTGAAGGAAACAAAACAGTGCGGTTAAAAATCTAAAGGACTATCCACACATATCCGGGCCGTGCTCGGGACGTGGACGTACTAGTTTGTATGAGCCGCGGGCCCGTCCCGGCCCCGGCCCGGACACGGACATGTGTAAACGAGTTTATACAAAATATACACAACGGTATTTTTTTGAGCCCCTGCCGGAGCGCGGCCCGTCCACGTCCCGGCCACGGCCCGGATATGTGTGGATAGACTTGAAAGCTATCACCAAGAAATTGAATAAGTAATATTTTCACGTGTACGTATTTCGAAGGCTTCGACTTGATACGTCATCACGTTTTTTCAACAATATTCATTTGAGTAGCATCTTAAAGTCGTATTTAGAAAATGGTATTCCAAAAGTGAGGTTATTTTTGAATTATACAACTGTGACTTGTCTATGGTTGCATAGTGCTGTACGAAAAAAATCATTCGGTTCATTCAATTAAGATTTTTATAATGCAATATTTCAATCGCAATCGAACGGGTATCTAAGTGTAAGGATTTGACGGAAGGTTTGAAATGAAGATTTCGGAAATTATAAATAATATGCTGTTATAGGTTATGTAAGGAAAACCGCTAGTATGACTCAATTGGACAAATCGACTCGTTCAATTAATTAATCGAGTCGTAGTTGGCGTTACAATCGGCCATCACTGAACCTCCGCGGCCGGGTCGGCGACTTAGTTTCTTTTTTGTTGAAAATGGATCGAAACGAAGTGCAATTATAAAGTTAAGGAAACTTTTCGTTTTTGAATTTTCGTCGTTGGAGGAAAAGTCTTGCCAGTATCCGGTGCGGCGCGCCGGCGTCCTCGCCGCCGTCGGCCCCCGCGGCGACCGACGCCGACGCGGAGGCCGCGCTCCCGCACCAGCGGGGCCCGCACGCCGCCGGGACATCGCACGGGACCGCCGCTCCCGGGCCACGCGCCGCCGCCGGCTCGTCCAGCAGCCGCTGGATCTCCTCCGCGCGCTGCATGTACCTGCGGCAAGCGGACGGTCGCGGCGCGTCTCGGCCGCGGCGGGCGGCGAGCGGCGCACCTGCAGAGCTTCGCGGCCAGCGCGCCCCTGCGCACGGCGTCGCCCTCCGCGCCCACGGCGGGCACCAGCAGGCGCAGGCCGTCGCGGTACGCGGCGAAGGCCTCGCGCAGGCGCCCGGCCGCGTCCAGCGCCACGGCGCGCCGGACCAGCGCCACCGCCTGCGCAGAGAGCGTCTCCGCTGGAGCGTCCGCCACCCGCCCGCGGCCGGCCCGCCCCCGACCTCCGGCCCACCTTCTCGTAGTTCTCCTTGCTGGGCATGTGCTCCAGGTCCAGGTAGGGGTGCGCGAAGAACTCCTCGTAGGAGATCCGCTCGTCGGGGTCGTGGCGCAGCAGCCGCGTCAGCAGGTCGCGGCAGCCGGAGGAGATCGCCGCGTTGCGGGGCACCTGCGGGTTCGCTTCGTTTCAGCGAGCGAAGGCACGACACCGACGCCGAGAAGCGAGTGGCGAACCTCGATGGGCGCGTGGCCCTGCAGCTTGTCGACGAGCTGCTGCAGCGTCGCGCTGCGGTACGGCGCCGCGCCGAACAGGCACTCGTACATTATTACACCTGCGCCGAACACCCTTTAAACTACAACTGACAAGATGGCTTTTGACACGTTTGTTTCTATAGTAATAAAAAATATTCCTTTACCACAGACATATCATATCGCACTGTTAATACAACAGTGTATTAACTCAAAAAGTGTATTTTCTCAGAATCGACAAAAAACTAATTATTTTTTTGCTTCCCGTGAAAGATCTGTGTAAATATATGTATAAGTTATTTCCTACTTACCAAATATACATATTTAAAAATAAAAGAGAAAAAATAGTTTCACATTTTTGAATAAGGACTGTTTTGGCCAGAACTAACTCACATAAAACGTATCTCATTTTGAGTTGAGTCGATATCTTTTACTTGTTTCTTACAATATTCTAAGGACGATTTTATTGACGTGTAGAGAATCAAATTTTACGTTCAACAATGGTATAACCTTGAATTTAACTTATTTTGAGTTGTAACACTATTGTAATAGCAATGCGATATCTAGATAGACGCCGCAAATACAGCAATTTGTATGAAAACCAAGGTGGCACATTTTTTATACCCACTATGACGTCACATGAACTATTTAGTGATGGAAAACCTCCTTCCGCTCTAAATAGATTGATTGAACGGAATACGCGTACGCGTACGCGTATTCCATTCAATTAATCGATTCTAAATAGAATAATTTTTGTTCAAGTATTTGTTGATCACAAATAGCCGTAATATTAATACAGTAAAAATACTAGAATAAGATAGTTAAGTCCTTTATTTTACTTGTTTTCAAAAAATGTTGGTGACTTAAAAAAATTAAGACTTTCATTTTTAATCGACTTCAAATATAAAAATTATTGTCCTTCCAATAAAATGCTTAAAGCTTATTATATGACATCTTTTTGTTATAGAAGATCTTATCGATTAAGTTAGATAATGAAAACTTACTTAATTTGATAAACAACGGATCAACTAGACAACCGTCGTCCTTGAAAGCAACGAACTCATTCGATGCCATGACCAACTCCAGGATTTTGTAAAGACAGCGCACAGTTTAACTCTGCGCATTTTATATATTTTTTGTATTACTCGTACTACATATTTGGCGAAGTATGTTATTATATTTTTTGCTCACCATATTCGGACAATCATAAATTAAAAAAAAAACGAAACTTTACTAAATGTCATAACAAACGAGTTATAGAATATATTTATAATATTGCTAAGATCATAATAATTATCGTCCCTTTGTTTTCAAAATCGATCAGAATCGAGAACAGTGTTGCCTAACGTATACATCACTAAATGTTAAATTTGGCCAAAAAATGTACAAGCGGCCGTACCACAGAAACTGAATGCATTATGCAAAAGTGCGTTCGTTCGATATTCATGGCGTATTAACAAAGGGTCACAAATATATCGCACCAAGTAAAAGCCGCAATGTATTACAAACATGAGGCATACACTGAGTTGCATATTTGTTTTCTCGAAATTCATACAAAACCAAAATAATTGTTTTTAAAATAAATTATGCATCTTCTGATTACAAAATCACTTGCCCGTGGAAGGAATTGTCCCTGTTTACCCGTTTACCCACAGTTATGGTGCTTTTGCAGTTTATAATGGCACAATTATGCATTTTTCGCATTTTCGACGGTCGAGCGCGTTCTGAAGTGTAGCAGCGGCAAGTAAGTGAAGTACGCCAGTATACGAGGGTGGTCCGACAAGTACTTGGCCTCACCACCAGATTGCGCCACTATTGCAAAATAGTGTCACTATCGTATAGTACATTAACCTAGTCGGCCATTGTTAAATTTTCAGTCAAATCGGACTTTTAGTTTTGTTTTGACCACGTGTAAAAGCAGTCGTGTCCGCCATTTTTAGAAAAATGGAAAAAGAGCAATAATCGGTAATTCGATTCTTGTTTTTGGAGGGGAAATCACGCAGTGAAATCAAAGAACGCTTGGATACTGTGTACGGTGACTCTGCTCCTTCGATGGCGACCGTCAAAAATTGGTTTAATGAGTTTCAACGTGGTCGCACGTCCGTTTTTGATGAGCCACGACCAGGTGCCCCGAAAACGGCTACCACGGAGGATAAAGTGACTAAAATACATGATCTCGTATTGGCAGACCGCCGGTTGAAGGTGCGCGAATTAGCTGAGACAGTAGGCATCTCAAAAGACCGAGTGGGTCATATCTTACATGAAATATTGGGCATGAGAAAGCTGTCAGCGCGATGGGTGCCGCGTTTGCTCACTCCAGACAACAAGCGCAACCGTGTGACCACTTCGGAGCAGGGTTTGACGCTGTTTAAGCGTAATCCGAAGGAGTTTCTGCGTCGTTTCGTGACTGTTGACGAAACATGGATCCACTGGTACACACCAGAGACCAAAGAACAGTCGAAACAGTGGACTTTACCTGGCGAACATGCTCCGAAGAAGGCGACGACTGTCCCATCGGCCGGAAAGGTGATGGCCACGGTTTTCTGGGATTCACAAGGTATCATCTACATAGACTACCTAGAGAAGGGAAAAACGATCACAGGGCTCTATGCCGAATTATTGGGTAGATTCGACGTCGAATTGAAGAAAAAACGGCCCCATTTGGTAAAGAAGAAAGTGCTCTTCCACCATGACAACGCACCGGCTCACACCTCCGGCGTCGCCATGGCCAAATTGGTCGAATTACGCTACGAACTGCTGCCCCATCCAGCCTATTCTCCAGATTTGGCCCCTTGCGACTTTTTTTTGTTTCCAAACTTAAAAAAGTCAATCGCTGGGCAGAAATTTCGGTCGAACGAGGAGGTTATTGCCACTACAGAGACCTATTTTGCAGACCTTCCGAAAACATATTTTTTAGACGGGCTAAAAAAGTTGGAGTATCGCTGGGTCAAGTGTATCGAGCTAAAAGGAGACTATGTTGAAAAATAAATTGTCACTTTTCCAAAATTTTCGTTTTTCTTTTGTAGGCTAAGTACTTATCGGACCACCCTCGTAAGTACACTTGCGGCGTCTATCTAGATATATGTCTGTGGTTCTTACTTAAATACAGGATACAAATTTCAACCAGCTTTAGTAAAGACGTCGTGGTCAAGCGGTATACGGATTGCTTTGCAAATTAAGGCATGGTTCGAGTCACATTTACCCGGGTCGGGATGGCGCAAGCCATCGCAGAGAGGTCGTGTGTGGGGTTCCGCAGGGGTCTGTCCTTGGACCACTCCTTTGGAACCTCGCATACGATGCTGTCTTGAGGGTCGCACTCCCCCCGGGCGTGCATCTGGTGTGTTATGCTGATGACACCGTGGTGCTCGCCGGAGGGGAGGACTTCGAGAGGACCATCCGGCTCGCTGAGCTCGGGGTTTCTTGCGTCGTCGAAAAAATCGAGGAGCTGGGTTTCCAAAAACTCCCGCGAGGGAGGGAACCGCCCAGATTCTCGATTCGCGTTGGTGACGTCGACGTCCAGGTGGGGCAGTACTTAAACTACTTGGGTCTCATCTTGGACGGTCGCTGGGATTTTGAGGAGCACTTCCGGCGCCTGGTTCCCCGGATCGATAGGGTGGCGGTTGCATTGCACCGGTTGCTGCCCAACCTGGGGGGCCCTTCGGAGGAAGTTCGCCGTTTACACGGTGGGGTGGTGCGATCCGTGGCCACACCGACTGACGGGCGTCTGGCGTTGCAGAGCCATGCTTAATGGCGGATACCGCACTATATCCTTTGACGCGGTGACTGTCCTGGCGCGGTTTCCCCCGCTGGACATTCTGGCGGAGATGGACCTCCGCCAGGCGGAAGAAGCTGCGCCGCCGGAAGTGCTGTGGCAGGAGCGCTGACGGGCGTTCGAGAAGTGGCGCGAGAGGCTGGAACAACCGTGGATCTCGCGCCAGCGCAGCGATCCTGCCCAACCTCGAAGTCTGGTTGAGCCAGCGGAAGTGCGTCACTACGTTCCGACTGACAAAGATACTCACCGGGCACGGATGCTTCGGTATCTAAATCGGATCGGACGCGAGTCGACGACGCAGTGCTACCACTGTGGGAGGGACCAGGATTCCGCCCAGCACACGCTGGAGGAGTGCCCCGCATGGGCCTCCGAGCGGAACATCCTGGTTGCCCGGATCGGGCGAGATCTCTCTCCGCCAGGCATAGTAGCGGCTATGTTGGCGGATCAAGAGTCCCATGAGGCAGTGGTCTCCTTCTGTGAAGCGGTGATACTTCAGAAGGAGGTCGCCGAGCGTGATCGGGAGAGGGCCGATCCCGCTCGGTGGCGGCGTACCTTCGCGGCTGCGGGCGATCGGAGCGGGGATTCGTTCGCCAGTAAGTTAGGCAGCCGCGATGAGGACGATGGGGCGGGGTGGCCCGCTTCGTCGCGAGGAGAGGAGGGGGAGGACGTAGCTCCTCCTAGGTGCTGGGGGGGTTCCGGTGCGCAAAGTCGATCCCGGATCCTTCCCATTAGAGCACCCGAGAAGGTCATCGTGGGGTTTTAACCGGTAGAAGTCGGCCTAACCGGCATAACCTCCCGCTGCTCCCGCGGCGGAGAGGTATCCCAGGAGAATTTCCCCACGCAAAAAAAATAACGGTTCGAGTCACATTAAAAATAAAATAATATTTAGCTATGGCTATTATATATTTTTTGTTTTTAACGTCTGGATAGGTGTATCTAATTATTGTTCATACAGAACAATAATTTCTAATTTTAATAATTCCATTAAGTGCGGCATATTAAAACAAGAAAGAAAACTTTGAAAATAATTAAAATTGAATAGGTAAATGGGAACGTAACGTGGAACAACGCGTAATCACAGAAGACACGATCGTATGCAAACTGCAGAGCGATTTCGTCATTTGTTAATCTATCCATACCCACCCTACACTTTATTAATAATATCTACCCACCCTTAGGCAATTTTTAGTGAGCAAATATTGGGATTTGTGAACGTTATCATTAAAAAGTTAAACAATACTTTTAAAAATATAACGTAAAAACAAAATAGCGCTCGTGGAATCGAACCACGGGTATTGTAACTGGCAGTCTATATAACAAGCCGCTCGACCAATTTACAATAAAACAATACAATAAAAAATAAAATTGAAATTGCTTTAATTTTTTCTTTGTTCAATACGTAAGACGGCTCTCAGAACCAAAAGGTCGGTTTGAGCACGTTAGGGGGTCAGGTATCTCATGTTTATGACTGTACCTAAATTCACCCGATTTCAAATTTTCAAACGTCTCAGATACAAAAAATATTTTGGCGCCCCGTCATCAGTTAAAAAAGTGAGCTGGGGTCTAAACTCGATCTCCGTCCGAAACAATTACTGTCAAATAAGCAATACTCGACCAAATGAAAAGACGCGTGATGCGAATGAAGCTTCATACTTGATACCTGTCTTTTAATTTGGTCGAATATTACTTATTTCACAGTAATTGTTTCGGACGGAGATCGAGAGTAGACCCCCTGACAACCCGCAATAAAATGTTGCTACTAAAAAAATCTTGTCACTCGATCTATTCTACGACAATTAAAAAAAACATGTTAGGAAAATTATTCCCGCTGCCTTATAAAGGGTAAACATATTCTATTCCATTGTATAAGTACGGTAACGAACGCTGTTGTCAGTTTGGAGCTCTGTCGGCCCTAAACGGTGCAACCTGAAGAACACCGAGGCCCGAAGACCACTTCAGTGCAATAATAACGCGTATGGTTTGTAAGCTTCCCAAAATGATAGAAACAGAACAGCCTCACCGACACTCCAGAGGTCGACCCTGGCGTCGTACCGTCCCGTGAGCATCTCAGGCGCCATGTACAGCGGCGAACCGCGCACCGACATGGCCATGCCTTCCATCACGCCCGCGAAGCTGAACAGTACATTATTACATTTCAGTGTCGCTCGACCCGGTTCGAATATTGCTATTCGAAAATGCCCTTTGACATCAGTTCCCTCGATCCTCAATGTCTCAAATTTAACAATTTCGAGAAATTAATAAAATTAATAAGGATAAATAATTACACTGACCCAAAATCGGCCAGCTTGAGTATCCTCTTGCCGTCCTGCCCACGCTGCAGCAGCAAGTTGTGAGGCTTCAAGTCCATGTGCGCCACGTCTGTCGTTTAATGTTATTGCTTAATATGGCCCACACATATAGATTTTAAACGGTTCCATTGCAGACACGGCTAAACCTCAAATCTCCTTCAACACAATTACTATCTTAAAATTGATTTAAGAAAATTCTCTTGCATTTTACTTTTATATTTTTCGAGGATTGTTAACTAGGCACCTGATCTTGGAATATAGTAACTTATTCAATTATTAGAGTTGTAACGTGTTGCAATGTGACTCTTTAGTAGGTCTGTGGATTGCGCATTGAAAGATTTTGAGTTATTTTTAACCGACTTCAAAAAAAGGAGGAGGTTCTCAATTCGACTGTATGTTTTTTTTGTATGTATGTTACGCGATAACTCCGGTATTTGTGAACCGATTTTCATGATTCTTTTCTGTTGGAAAGAGGGTAGCTCCATTGTGGTCCCATTTCATTTTGAAGAAAATCATCCACCTCTACGGGTGGCTGTCCACGCATGTAGATTCATTTTTATAAATACATAGCACCTAAATTTTATTATAAGGAGCAATTATTTTAATGGTTGATTTTGCTATTCTCCAATTCAAGGCGTTTTCCTCTCTCAATATACTTTGAGTAGTGAGAACCGATTTTTATTATCTCCTGTGTCAGATTAGGGAAATTGGAAAATAGCATACTTCTCTCTCTGAGGAATTTGAGCGCGGATGCGAGCTGTTGCAGAAAATATAGCACCTGCAAAGAAATTCATCACTTTAAAAGAATACATGAGATTCAATGTGATTAAAGTGCAACAGCAAGTTAAGCCTGAATGACGAGTTCAAAGAAAGAACTTTTATACCCAAAAAATGTTTATGGTTTAGAAATTAATAAAAATGTGTGGTAAATAGTAAGTATATTTACGTTACCTGTCTCTCTGGCACACGGCCGTAGCGGTGTATGTATTTGGAGAGGTCCCCACCGCAGCAATACTCCATAATAATGTAAATGTTTCTGCCACCAACAAAGACAATATTCACAAGTGTGCTAGACAAGGTACCTTTGTAACCAAGGGGAGTGTGGGTTTTTAAATTTTGCCTAACTAGAGAAAGGTAGGCAAGTGGTCTCACCGTTGGTCCCACGTGAAGTGATGCATGGCAACAATGTGTGGGTGGCGCAGCTCTTTCAGAAGGCGGATCTCGGAGAGCAGGTTGTCGGCGGCGGCGCCGCGCACGCGCGCCTTATCCACGCACTTTATCGCCACCACTTGACGCCCGCCCACCTGCAAGAGCGATCATACAACATGACTGTACTTTGTCTACATTTTATTTCTGTAAATATTTTTTATTTGATAATTTTCCAAAGTGTGAATCGTGCTGCGGAATTGTTGTGTGATCAATTCAGTATTTAGGTCATTCATGTCTTTATCTTGTGTAAAAATATTAATAATTCTATCAAACTACGTAGACAATTAAAATAGTTTATTTCTTCTTCACCTTACCTATTATCACCGTCGGATTTTTATTAGTATTTTACAAACTAAAATACTTGCCTTTAAACCATGGGCTCTTATAAAATATAGCACCAAGAAAGAAATAAACAATGAAACTCCTTTACAAAAACTTAAACATCTACAATGAATAAACAAATAAAACGGCAAAGAATGTATTCAGTATTCATCTAGAGACTATGCGGCGATTATCTTTCTAAGTAACTTGATTAAATAATCACAAAATAAATAGAAAACGGACAATTTACACTACCGATTGAAAATGCTTTTTGTTTACCTTTGTATAAGCTTTGTACACGGTAGAATAACTTCCCGAGCCTAATTTCTCAGTCACAATATATCCCTCTATTTTTGGGAACGCCATTTCTCACAAAAATTACAATTTAATAATAATATTTCACATTTTTTGCAATCTGGGATCAAACCATTTTTTTGCGATAACGAAACGTCATCTTTTGTTGTGACTTTTGACTTTTTAAATGTTTGTTAGTTGGGCTTTGGATACTCAGAAGTTGTTTTAATATTTTATGTCTATTTTATGTGGTAATCCCTGAGGTAGATGGCGTTATGCGTCAAAGATCTTCCTTGAGCTTTTCAAATTTCAAACAAATATTTGGAAAAAGTTTTTTATTGCTGTTGGAATAAAACGCAGAATGCGCTTTGAATACACGTCATTTATTGTGTCTAGCACAAACTCTTTAAAATAATTACATATCAAACAGTAAAGAAAAACAACCATATTCTAATACAAGACAGCTAGTGTCATCAATAACTCGTTGCTAGACAACCTAAACTATAGGTAGCATACATCATAAACATATATGATTAAACCACTTTATTTGGTCTGTGGATTATACCACGACTTCTTACCTATTGCAAATGAGCCAACAGAAAAACAAACAGAACATTCTAACCGTTCACAAATTCCAGAAGTTTTTCACCAAACTGAAAGACAGATATGACTGTGAAAAGTTTCCAACTCGTATTGGTCAGCAAGCATCGTGGACTATGGCCTAATCGTCGTATCTCTAGGTCGCTAGTCGTCGAAAATCGTAAATGCGCCTGAGAGAGGCGCCTCGTAGGTTTGGCACCAATGATATTAAATGCTCACTGTTGGTGCCAATGGTTTGCGAGGCCGTAATTACTTCCCACCGTCTTACCGTCCTGTGAAATCCTTAAACACACACTCATTCCAAAACGAGCACTACAAGCAGCACAATAAAGCTGCATATCGACAAGCGACTATGTGACAGGGAATGTTTATAATCATTCAAAGTTAGTTTTTCTTTAGGTTCAGAGGAAAATGGACCTTGCGATGATAATTATAAGAGTCATGTGTGATGAGAGGAGTGCGGTAAAGCTTGGTCGCAAGGATACTGCAATGCACTAATGTGTCCATGTCGTGCAAATGTCTGGGAACATTCCATGAGTTGCGGCTTCTCTGTGTGTTGTGTAGGTCACTATCATAATTTAGATGTATGTAGGTACGTCTCACTGCTATCCAAGAATCTACTTAGTGCAAAATATAAATACTGTAGGTCGTATTTGTTTATAGTATAGAAAGAAAGAAAATAGATGCCGAGATGTGCCTAGCTCCCAAACTGGGATGAATGATATATACATATATAAGTCGTTTCTGTCTCAGTTTTAATAATAATAATAATAATAACGCACACACTCAACATAGCCCCGCACTAGGGAAACCCTGTGTCGCGGGTGCCATGGACACACACATAGACAACCACAAATTACACCCAAACTCACGAGAGAAATAAATGTAGGTCATACAAATATTTCTCTCGGCCCGGGAATCGAACCTGGGACCTCTGCGTGGCAGTCCGGCATGGTAACCGTTCGGCCACGGAGGTAGTTTGTCTCAGTGCTGGGCAACGGGCAACGGCCTACATAATATTGAAGGTTTAATACCTAGCCATATCTTAGCAAGCAAAAACACTCAAATAAACATCTGAACTGACGTTTTATTATTTGATAGTAACAATTAATTTATTTTAGTATTAATCTGAAATCGAAACAAAATTGCAGGCGAACCAAATTCTAGGAATTGTTTGAGGTTATTATTTGGTTTCAAATTCGATGTAAGAATTATAAGTAAGACTGAAATGCCCATTTTTTTCTTTAAATCGCAAATCCTAGGGGCACCGTCACTGCGCCCGTCACCCTGAGACTTAAGTTGCGGCCAGTCCCATATGCCTGTAATTTCACCAGCATCCTTACCCTTACCCTTCCAAACTGGAACGCAGTAATGCTCACAAATCGAGTATAACTCGATGTGCTCACGTTACTGCTTGGCGTCAGAAATTGATAAGATGGCAGTACTTCCCTGGGCGAACTTTTTCACAAGGAGGAGCTACTGCTACTAAATCAATAAAAGAAGAACATGTTCAGTAATTCAGAATTGACAAAATTGTTATTATTTGTGATGCTAAAAATTGTTATTATTTATTTTGCAAACTCTTCCAATTCATTAAAGTTAGAAGGCAAACTGCCATAAACATTTTACATGATCATAAACATTGACTTACAATTATATGGACATCGGGTCCGCGCTAAAAAGTGTCCGAACTTATAGGGCGTTAAAATCGTACACAGAGCGTCATTCACGCTTTAGTCTTCGTTTGTTCGACTGACAGCGAAGCAAGCAAAATTAGACAGTACTGCGATGACATTACAATTTAAATTCAACGTTTTAGCTTTTTCATATTCCTTTACATGTCACTACGTTTAAATAGGTTGACTTGGGACATTTATTTCGTGGTTTTTGTATTAGACCCGTCGTCCATTTATTTCTAAGTCAATGATCATAAAGGAATGTTTCAAAGTATCTTTAGACTAGGCGGAGTGCGGTGCGGTACGACGACGTATGTGTGTATAGCAAGCAAGTTATAAATAGGTAAGGCAAGCCAGGTAGTAAAGGCGCGACGCGTCCGAAATTAAAGTTTTTCAACGGATCGCTCATCGCTGTTATACACCACAGACCGCAGAAAATACGGTGAAATTAATAAAGGTTCAGAACCAAACCATACATATTTTTACGTTGGTCTGAATGATGCAAGAAATGTAATCATCCATTTCGACATGTAAGAACAATAATACAACATGAGTGTAACATCTGGGTAATTATGGTTTACTACTATGGCTACGTGTCCGTATGTTCGGATTGCGTGGCCACCGTTGTGCGTCCGCAGCGAAGTGCCACAGTGTGGTCAGAGCGCGAGCAGCGGGCGGCGAGCGGCCGCGCCGGAAACGCGCGAAACGCGTCCCACAATTCCCACACCCTAGGTCCAACTTTATTTGTTGTGGGAACTGTTTGTCGCCACTTCATTTTGACTTTCGTTGTGGGTAGTGTTTTTTGTGCCTGTTTGGTAATTTGTTTTAAAAGTTTTAGCGCACAACTTTTGCCGCCAGAAAACTATTACCTCTTCTTGTTGATATCGACGGTTAAAATGTAGTCAACCTTTTAATCTCTTCGAGTGTTATTTGACGACACTTACCTAATTAGTGCGATTGTCTGAAACATTTCGTAAAGAAAATGTTCCAATCATAGTGTACCATTCGTTGAGGTCTATCTTATTGTCCTACCTTATCTTTCTGCCCGCTAAAGCGGTCAACTCGCCTCAGCGAGATTGGGTTTCGATAATCCAAAGCGTAGAGAAGTGATTCGACAATGTACGGTGTGATGACGGGTCAGAAACAGAGCCGGGGGCCGGCACGAGCGCAGCCACGGGAGCAGGTAAGCCCTACTTAAATGGTTAGACGCACCTACCGAAGGCTTGTTGCCCGCGGCGTCGTTTGCGGGATCACAAATAGTTTTTTTCGAATCTTTCCGAATTACGCAGTCTTCATTCATCTCTGTTGCTCTAACATTTACTTTAATATCACTCGTTATCAACCGACTTAAAAAAAGGAGGAGTTGGCTGATATTTGATTTTCTTTTCTGTTTATTTTGGTGCAAACAGTAATTACAAAATTAATAAATACAGAAAAAAAACTATAATGTAGACAACGAGTACCGAATATTACTGTTAAATAGCAATAACATAGGTTGTAAGGACTTAAGGATCAAAGAAACAAATACACACATTTTTTTAGTGCTTCAACAAATTTGGAAATAAAACTAAGGAAATACTGTAATTAACCGGGATGTGAACCCGCGACCCCGGGCTTTGCACGCAAGCTGTGTCGTGAATGCCTATCTCAAATTTGTTCAATGAGGTATCAAAAATATCCGTGTCATTAAATGTATTTTTATTGTAATAAAGATAGGTAACGAATGGTAAAAGTAACTTGTTTCTCGTATGGGAAATTCTTACCGCGTCGTGGTGGTACGAAAATTTTAATTTTACTTCGGACACAGACTACTTAATTGTTACTTTGGGAGGGTGGTGGCAAACGAGTTTTAATGACAAAATAAAGTTTTGGGTAACAGAGTTGGCGAATCAATCTAAGAATTATAAAAAGAAAAACTAAACAAAAATGTCAGATTTTTTACGCCGATTTTGTAAGGTAAGTAGGTAATTTGTATTATAAGAAACATAATACTATCTAAGCGAACTTTGGCCATCGCTAAAAACAAAATCCTTCGTTGAAAGTTGTTTAACCTTTCGTCATCTACATTTGCAAGTTAAAAAATGAGAGCTTGCATTAATTTTACCTGTACGTTTATTAGTTTTGTGAACTTATTGCGACGTGGACATTCTCTTAGGGAGACCGCTGCGCCTCGACCTTTGAGTCATAGAATATTCTCCAGCTAAGGCGGCTATCAGACGGACTGGAAGTCTGCAGTCAACACGTTCAACTGCGTGCAGTCGTGAGTCGACACACTCGTACAATGTTGTTGAGCAGTAGAGCTCCTTGTGAAAGTTCGTCCTGGAAAGTACTGCCACCTTACCTATTTCTGCCGCCAAGCAGTAATGTGTGCATTATTGCGTTTCGGTTTTGAAGAGTAAGGGTGCTGGTGAAATTACAAGCACATGGGACATGTCGACTTATGTCTGTCTGTTTTCAACTTACGTCGTGACGAGCGCAGTGGCAGTGCCTTTCAAATGTCCTCCAAATCTTTGCGATTTAAAGCTCCGTGTGGCACTGCAACTGTTATGAACAGGCGTGTCGCTTACCAACAGGCGCACCACTTGTTCACCCCGTCACTTGGTATTATATAAAACAGCTTTCTTTCGTGGTCACGTACAGTTTATTGTGCAATTGATAAACTATTATAGTCCGAGAATCAAAGGCAGCAATTAACATTCTTTATTAGTTTATTTTCATCGTAATCTTGAGTACAGCATATCTAAAATAATTTTTTAACTTACAATACTTATAACAATAATCAATTAATCCATATAGAGTAGCTACGTCATCGGTAGTATGAATAACAACAGGATGTTTTCGTGTCGTCATAAATTGTGATTGGCTTCCATAGTCAAC